ACGGTACTAAGCACTGGGCATTGCCCAACGCTGATTGTACACGTTATCCGACCAGCGGACCTTTAAGCATGTAAGATCTAACCACCTTAACGAAAAGTGCGGAACCCACCATCGGTCGAAACAGAGCTGTCGCAATACCATCTGTGGGCTCGAGTGCGCCCGGAATGTCACGGAAAAACACTTCCAAATTACGCTTGCCTCTTCGACGCGCTTTTCGATGCATAAGGCACAGATAAGAGCCGTCGTGCACAATGAGAGTTTCACTGTCCTGTTCGTCGTAGATGAATCTCAAGGGCGAAGGTGGCGGGGCAATGGGAATCTGTACATTTGCCAAGTGGAACATTGGCATACAACTGAGACCAGTTGTACTCTGCGCGTACTTGAAACATACATCGCCAAATATGGCCATGCCGTACTCTTTCCGCAAATTGTAGAACACGCCCCGAAGTGCCAGTCCAGACGGCGATCGAAGCTGAAGCTCATTTAGCTGAAGACGCGTGGGACGGCAGTCGACGGGTTGCCACAACTCGATTTCTGGGATGATCTTCGTCTTGAGAGCCTCTAACGTCGGAACCGGATTGAACAATACCTTCGAATACGGCAGGGAGATTACACCACCGTAAAAGAACACGAGAATATGGTCCGAGAAGGCCAAGACCCGACCGGGCCCGGGCAGACCCTGTGCTAGCATGTAGTCTGGACGTTTCTTTGACCTGGTCAACACCTCCGCCGGCCAATTCATATGATACACCCACAATTCAAATGACAGCTTATGCTTTGTTCGTTGACCACCGCCGATAGTCGGTTTGTTGTTTTGATCCCCTCGCTGGAGCAGCCAAAGAAGACAGTTGTGGGGAAACGAGTAGCTGACGGTCATCGATTCCGAAACGAACCGTGGAAGTTCCGGCTCAATGGTGTCGGCCAGTATCCATGGTAACATCCGCATTCGAACTAACAAATGCACCGTACCATCGCTTAATACAACGCCAATTCGAGGAAGTTCACGAGTCAAGTTGATCAACGTATGGATTCGATCGGTGAACACGAAACGGGGAGTCTCGCAATGCTCACTATTTTCGCACTTCCTCGTATTTCGTATCGGATCTTGGGTGTGAACAATGTGAACTGTGTTACTCAGACTGCCGTTCACAAACGCTATACCGACGCCGTCGATGTGTAGCACATTACGGGTGTCCGAGGCGGACACACTTAATGGGTCATGATTCGAGCCATTGGCATAGGCAATGTTATTTGTCATATTTCTAGAACGTCTATTACGAGAGGTGTCCAGCACTCGCTCGAATTCGACACTGACCTCGCCGAACTGCGCTGGCGGTATCGAAGGCGAAGTCGCTGGAGCAGGGAAAAGAGAATGCCGTTGAGAACAGGGAAATCGCTGAGCGGTGTAAAATGGTATATCGCTGGAAATAGCGAAATCGCTAAATGACATTGTGTGGAACAAGCGAAGGGTCACAATAACTTTAATAAACTTTCACAAAGGGTCACAATAAACTTTGGGTGTTTGATAAAATTGAACTGCGCATAACACGACGGGCCAAACCCTACTCCTCGACAGACATATAAGTCCAAGTTGAGCAGTACCAGGTTAGTGACAACCGGTTGACTCGTTAATAGGCGCAGCGATCGCAATATGGCGGGGGGGGGTATGGTAAATCCTGACGAGGACAGCACGCTAACGGGTGCACGTCATTAGCAACCTTTTCACACGGGAAAGAGGGTTGAGCTGAGCTAATATTTCACGATCGTACAAATTGTCCAAGGTGCGCAGACGTTTTTCGTTGTAGAAGAGAGGTCAGCTTGCATTACAATTCGAATTTTGCACGTTCTGCTTTAGTCGGACCACCATAACATCACATCAGGGTCTGCCGATGTTTTTCAAATACATGTGACCAACTGGACGGAAAGCTGGAAAAGATTTCGCGCCCCCCATCAGCGGGTGCAATCATCTGTCTAGATTTAATTAGATATTGGCTAACCTATGTCGTATACATCATCGAAGTAAAAACAGAAAAAGAAAAGTAATAGCTATTTAATCTAGGAAAAACATTGCTAGATGAATTTTTCCACTTCAATACCACATAGAGATTTCCAAACGTCGAAAGGTTTAAAACAAAACTACAGAGAAGTACACGAAGTGTTAAGGCAAAAAAAAAAATAGCTCAAAATGCCAAATATTGTATTTAAGGCCATTGTCATTCAATTGATGCTGAAACACGTAGCCACTGTTGTATTTAGGCGGGTTAGATCGGTCACTAACTGGATGAAACCTGCAAAATACCTATCAGCTTATACGACCGTAGAGAACGCGATCACGGCCTATTCAACGAAAACTGATCTGCGTATGACTAATTGATCGTAGACGCTCAATGTTAGTCATAAGCGTTGTGAAGTAATGCGGTAATTTGTACCTCTTCCTAGAGTCAGTCACATTTCTAAATAAGCCTGTCTACTATATCAAAACTTGTTCTAATCTTTACAACAATATCCGTTTAACAATAGCACTTATCCGGCAACAGTTCTCATACAGCAGAGAGAAGATATCCCGGGACGCCAGTGAAGAGTCATCTACTTTGTGGCCCATTTTTACTACCTGTCTTCTAAGACAATTACCGTAAAGATCACGATTCCACAAGATGCTACAAGTTTACATGACGTTCAATTGAGGAACGTCTAGCTATACGTTTGAGAGACATCATTTATTAAATAGAATATTGGCGCGTCCGTGATTTGTGTTCTATCCAATAAATGAAGACAGTTATTTCGGCCCTTTTCATTAGAGCAAAATTCCAATATGAAATACTCTTTGACGTTAATCATGAGCCATTGTTCTTACGTAACCATACGGAATGTCACGTATGAGTCAGCAATATTATTTGCCTAAATGGTGCGCCATGTCGAAATTTCCTTTCACTGTGAAGATATAACAGTATCGTAGCTCATCTTCCCACTAAGCTCGGAATCGGATTTTCTTCAATTACATATTAAATTCGAACGCTCAAAAGCAAACTATCATGGACGACATAGGACAATGGCCGAACGGTGAATCCGAGCTCAGCTCTATAGCGTAGGGACGCTAGACCGTTTAACCTTTAAGTCCTGGCTTAAGTGCTCATTTGAACTCAAACGGAATAAGTGATTGGTCAAAAAAGTTAGTGGTTTTCATCGATCAGGAGAATGTACGCCGTTATGTCGATGATCTGCTCAGCATTAGATGATATATCGTACTTCTTTGAATAGGTAAAGGTATGGTACCTTTCTCTGTATATAACTCACTTTTATTTAGACAGCTGCTGTTACAGTTGCCTCGACCAGAGAACAGAACTTTTCGCCGAGTTCGTTAAAAGAGTGAATGAAGGTTCTAAGTGAAGAAAAGAATTGCTTTTGTCTGTCTTATTTGGCTTTTTGCTGAGTCGAAAAGCTGCCAAACAGTACGAGATACTTAGGCCACATACAGTGCGAGCCCTTTCGTCTAGAAAGGCCGCTTGGCGAACTTCAGTAATAGCGTCTTGCAACTGCGATATGGGTCATCTAAAAGTATTATTTCTATCACTAAGAAGATAACCGACAGACATATGGCTATCAAAAGATTTTTCAAATTAGGGAATTTAGTCAAGGCAAAGACTGTTCTAGGAACTGAGTGGGCATTTCGTCTTCTCACAGCCTTTCAACGTATCGCCTGGCACCGAGCATCGCGCACCTAAAACTATAGAACGGGGTTGATTAAACGAGTATCGCCGGTGTCAAGCTGTCCCCGTACTGAAGTTGATGTTTTAGATCATCTCAGGTAATGAGCAAGGATAATTTTGCGCAACTTTTACCAAATGGTTTGCTAACATAACGCTGCTAATCAATGAGCTAGCTCGATCCACACTGCGTACGATGCTGGTAAAACCATCAACCCCTATCATAGCACGAGGTTGTAATAAGCTCCCACAAAACCAATTTTCAGCCTATCAATCAAGTCCCCCGAGCACTAGCCATTATCATTATAATTTTCTTGTCTGAAGCTACTACTTATAGACAAAGATGCCCTTTTCTTTCCTCCTACTATTTACTGTTATAATTTAACATACCTAAGAGAACTTTGCTTAATTTACCACCTTAAATCTCTCTAAGAAGCAACATGTGCTCATTCTCCCTGCTGTCACGCGTCCGTTGCGTTCGAGGCATATGTTCTCGATATAGGCACTAGTACGCGGGGCTACACTGGACACGTGCGAGGCCTGTTGCTGCTGCGACGGCTCTTTTCATTATATAGTCATGGCAGGACATGGGCGAAAACAGCTAGCTGAGGATAACACGATCGCCAACGTAAACTCACCCAGCAATAGCTATTGCATTAGTAACTGTAATCCTCCTAAATATCGCGATGGTGTCACGGATCGTAGTTGACCCAGCGGTAACCGTCAGGTAGTTAACACAACAGCAAAAGTGGCAGCACGAAGCTGGATTTCGCTGTAACAAACGTTAGACAGAGACAGGTCGACCAGGTCACAGTAGAGGCGTTGTGAGCTGCAGCATCAAGGATTTACGTGCGAATATAACGAACCAATCGCAAGGACGGGAAATCAAATACTTATTGATAATATATCCACTCTGGCAGCCAGACAGGTCATCGACAGTGTTACCCTTGTGATTCTGATGACAGAAGACTGCTTGAAGGGAGCGGGGGTACAGGCGGGACAGGCAATGCAGCGATGACGCTAATAAACGCAGGAGCGTAGGTGGACGTCTATAATTTGTGGTCAGTGGCAAATCTCTAGCAGCTCGAGAAGGTCGATCGCTGATCGCCGATCACTGAGTGGTGACGTCCGTCTTTGTTAGATGCCGCTGGCGGGCGCCACCATCGCCGTTGCTCCATTGCACTGCCCTAGCGCGGTTCTTGGCTCTTGCCATCGGAAAAACTCGATAAGCGCACGGTCAAGCGATCGAGCTGGCCACAGAAGGAAGGAAAGAGTCTTCGGTTTTTTGTCGGAGCGCCACTGCAAACGGCTCGCTACTCGCCTGTGGTTACTTTTGCACTGGAGCCTACGTCCGCCAACAACACTGGCGGCGATGACGGCGACAGCGGGTGAGCACGGAGCACTACTGGAGCAACAACCGAAACAGATCTTCTTACCACAGCGGCGCTATCTTGCTGTCGACTAAGCCGGCTAGTTCAGTTGGCGGACAGACGGTGGAATAACAAGAAGAAAGTGTTTGTACTGAAAAAGCGGAATAACGTTCATCGATCATAGAACGGGCCCATTGAGAGAGGCATCGAAAACCCCGCCGCCGAAAAACCACTGCTCACACGCCGTTGCCTTCGTCAGCGGAGTCACAAGCCGACTGCTGCACGGGCAGGGAAGTTGCAGCAGATCAGTGTCAGCCTTTTCGTTACCAAAACACAACTCGACGGCAGCGTTAGTGACAGCAACGACAACTTCAGCTGTCGGCGCCGCCAACTGCTGACTCACAAATGTTCCAAGTGTTCCATTGATCAGTGGTGACCCCCTTGGTCCTCTGCTATGCACTTTTACTTGCTCGTGCTGTTTGGTACTATTGCAGATAGTTGATATATGCGCACCGAACGTCCAATGACAAGCAACCGACATTCGAGTAACGTCCGAGTGTTTGGATGAGTAATAAGGAGCACCGAAGACAGTTAGCGAGTGAGTCGCGTGGCAGTGCGTGTTCGCTGGATGTCGCCTGTCTGCCCGGACAAAACAAGTTCCCTGATAGAATTGCAGCAGCAATAACAGCAAAGGAAGGCCTTGTAACGGCCGTAAAACGGGCTACGTAAAGTTACAGTCTCTGCCATACCGATGTTGTTGATGCTAGCGGAGCGGAAAGTTGAGTGGAGCGATCTTTGGAGTCCGTTTATAACGGGACATCGATGGGGTCAGCTCTAGCCTGAACACAATAAGGACGTAAAACAGAAACGAAGTTGAGAAACTTGCACTGATGCTTTTTGGAAAAGGTCTGAAAAATTTGCCTCTAGTGAAGTTAGTAACGAAATACGAAGTTTGAAGAATAGCAGTTTCGAAAAGTTGTGTACTGTTCGACAGTGACAAATACAGCAGAAGAATAAGGTCAGAAAAGGAAGGGAGGAAGGAACGCAGAAACGCAGGTAACGTAACCAAATTCAATTTAGCTGGTAAAGCAATGCTTGCTCTACCACAGTGACCAGGTAGGCGGTCACCATTTGAATAGGGTTTGCACAAGTGTTTTTGCAATATTGACGCTCATCTATTATATCTATGGATACCGTCGCGCCGAAGCGAACGTGGACCCCTTCATTCGACAGTCAATAGCATATAGCAGAACGGATCGAAGTACGCTGTGCATCGTTCCATAGCTTTGTTTCTATAATAAGCCTTTAATTAAATTCCCTTTGAAGAAAATAAGTCTCAAGGAGATCGCTTTACGACGTCCAAATCAATCGATACGATACAATGTGGAGTAATCTATCAATGACACATGGTTCTTCTGTTAAAACAATCCCATTTCTATAGAGACCAGCGCTGGCAATAGAATATCCTTTGATTTTCTCTCATCTTTGGATCAAGCGACAAGTATCTGTTCCATCTATGCCTGTCGTAAATCCATGTTATAAATCCCTTTGGTTCGACTGTTTCGAGGATCCGCAAACGCGTCGACAGGTGGATAGATTATACGCTGCGACTATTTCGAAAATCGACTATAAACCAAAAGCGCGACTAGACGAATTGTTATAATATAACAACTGGGTAGGCGCACTGAAACAGGGGGCGCGAAAACGTGTACCGATTGAAAAAGAACCGTGCAACTTCATCATTCCCTCAATAAGGCAACTCTTGGACAAACACCTCAATCTACAGACCAAATTTATTCTCAAAAGATTGTTCCGTATCATCGCACCCATATGTAAATTGATCAAGATGTACTAGTATCATTACAAGTAATATAATCGCCTTTTCCGTATTGATCGGTGCTGGGCACAGACGCTGTACGGAGTAAATGCGCTTGGCTATATGGCCATGATAGCTTGGTAAGTGGTCCGCGTGGCGCTGCACTTCGTTTCCATTCTGCCGTATGTTACACGTAGATTACAATGTTGTTGCATGATTGTACTGTGTGTATGGTTTCATCGTTCTACACTGTTTATTCAGGTATCAGCTCTGGGAACGGTCGAATGCTGATGTAGCAAATTTCGGCCTTGGCCAACGAAGACAACTAGGATATTAGCTAGGGTCTGGGCGGCACCGTCAAACCGTAGTTATTTCCGCTAATTTTCAGTGGTAATAAGGTGTCGCTAGTTCCGGCGCAAATATGATTGTTAGCTCCATAGCTGTTCGCCACCTATAGAGCAGCTTCATTGTTCCGCCGGCCAACGACGTGCAGTTTGGCAAATGTCGTTTTGGCAAAGATGGTATCTAAGTGATAACTGAAATGTCGTTAATCTAGGTTATCTAGCACCCGTTGTTGGAGCTTTTTGCCATGCCACCATAATCTAGACGACAGCGACTCTGAACAATTGGCAGTCTTATGCCGCAACTCCCACCACATCTACTCCCCGAGACTCATTAGGGGACAAACTTAGCTGATAATGTTAGCCCGTTTCAGCAACTAAGTGGCCGGCAAAAGCCACTGCAATCCAGAGGGCAGCGGGAAGCGGTAGCCACACGGTCGCATCACCAGCCAAACAAACGTTTTGGGGGGCGATCGCCTCTCCCTGTGGTAAAACGTCGGATCATGGTTTTGCCATCAGAGATGGCTGCCGGGGAGCGATGCAGTCCGAGTGGCAGATGCAAAACGTTGATCTGCGAGCCACTGACTACTACAGCTGCCACGAAAGCTATTCCTGGAGCACAACTGAAATGCCGGAAGAAAGACGAATTGGTCATAGAACTACATTGTGGAACTGTTCCATTATAAATAGAACCAGCGAGTGCGCGGCATTCGCTTACGGTCGGGTTCCAATCACCAGTCTACGTTAGTAATGTACGGTTATTTGTATGCGTTGGCAAGATCCCGGCCGGTTTTATCGAACTGAATGCCACATCGGCTATGGCTGCAACAACTCATAGGCTGAGATTGAGACCTATAGGTTGCGCATAGATGATAAAAATGATGAAATCTTTACTACATGTATATGCAGTATTAATCTGTTGATTACATAAAGGAGGCTCTATATGTATTTTCATAAGATAACTTAGCAATGAGCGGTCGTTTGCAGGTATAACTTGTAGGCATATGGTGGTCCGAGTGATTTCGTGGCCCAGATAACAACAGCTGGCTGGATTTATTGTGGGTATTAATATAGTACTACTTGGAAGCTTCGTTCTGTTATTTTTACCTACGTTGAAGACTAATTAAACCAAATATGTCTGTCAAAACCTGCTGCCTGAAAGACTAAAGGCGGGTGTTGTTGATAGTATAATCATCTTTCGAACAGGAAGTTTTAACTTTGTTCGGATTCGTAATCAAGCCTCACAAAAACGTCGTTAGGTCTGTACATTTGTCTTCGTTGTCAAAAACCTATGTTAAGCATCCGCGTTCCTCTTACGTGCTCCACTTATCAGGTAGAATCGTTTCATGGTTCAACATGATTTGTAGAGAATGCGTCCATGGAGAGACAGTGCCACGCAGACCGTCAATGAATCGGATCCTTTTAGGGTATTTTATCCACACGGTGGATACCTATTCTACGATTAAAGCTGTTTTGCAACGCCCGTTATACATTAATGGTAAATGTACCAACAACATAGCCCCAAGATAACGCTGCACCTATTCCGTAATAGTCTCTTGTGTTTAAGATAATCTACGGATTTATAAAGACTTATCAAAACCCTGTTTCCTCGAACGCTTGCTTCATTCATAATGTCGATTCATATTCAATCTACTGCCATGAATGACTTTCGGTCATACGCGCAGCTGTAAACAGATACGATTTTTGCTTTAGCTAAGTTCTATCCGAGGTAGACCAAGTTCGAATATGAAGCCGAAACTGTGCAAAAGTGTTCTGAACATTTTGATCCGTTTCCCTTCTTTTCGTCGCTGGTCACAAACAGCGGCAGCAGTAACAGCAGAAGCTGAAATGGCCCAGCAAACTTCTGCTTCTGCAGAAGCAGTTCATTGTCTGCGGCGATGGTGGTTAGCAAGCCTTTTCTATAATTGCATTTTTTTCTAACTATGGTGCGTTGCTATGGCAGAAAATCAACTATAACTACTACCAGATATATATATATATATATATATATATTATATATATATAATCTTGTTTGTATTTTTTGCACCGTAAAGCAAAGCCACGCATACAGCCACCTATAGCACCTACGCTGTGCCGATAGAAAAATAGCCAGGGCACCATAAATATGTCAGTCTCGAATGGTGAGCTTGTGGATGTTGTGTCAAGTAGCCAATACAATAGCCCTCTATCTATTTATAACTGCCCCAATTTGTGAGGGGTAGTTAGCGATAGATAAGAATCGTTTCTTCAGAAAGACACAGACTACGACAGCAATTCGTTATAATAAGAAATCCAACTTAATAAATTATCGTGCGCGCAGCTCTGCCTGTAGTCTAAGACGATTTCATCATATCGTGACAAGATGAAACGCTAAATATATGACAGTTAGGGCTGTATATAGTATAGGGAAAGTTAAAATCTCTTAGGAAGTGTAGACCAATTATTCTTCATTGCAAAGAAGTTCCTGCCAGCTTATTAATCTCTCTAAAACAAGCTACACTCCGCTCCATTTTTTTTTGTATGTAGTAGGTACATCGTGCACTACGTGCGTATTGTTGTAGTAGTTATGGTACATTGTAAATCTGCTAGTGCCGTCAACTTGCCAGCCAGATTTTACTGAACCCCGGAAAACTATCATACAACGGCCGTATTACCAGTGTGTCACCAATAAAGGATGTCTGAGGAGTTTCTACAAAACTTTTCAATTTATTTATCTTCAGTATTGGCTTCTGCTTGCAGACACACCAACGGGCACAACAATCTACTTATGTAAAATTAACACCTATATCTCCACAAATAAAGTAGTTAGAGGAAGTACGGTATAAGTGAAAATATCGTTCTTTCTGCGTTCCATTTTTCAGTGTTATTTCTCTGTGCATCCCCCGTTCCGTTCTATCTTCTGAACTATATTTTCTAATACATTAGGCTAAATGCATTCAGGCGTCGAAGGCCTTGTCGCTGAACCACTTTTCCTGCTGGAACGCTTCTTTGCGGTGCCGTCCGTCCACACCTTACGCATCTGTGCTTGTATGTCAACGCCGTCTCAGATGCTTACTCTTAACACTATCAGTTTCTGCGTTATTCCGCTACTGCTCGACCAGACCCACGGCGTCTTGTCTTGCACTGTTCACTAGGGCGTCATCTTGTGCAGTCCACAACCGCCAATTTCCACTAGGCCGTCACCATAGACAGGTCAATTGACGTTAGTGCTGCTAATTTTACGCTCTGGAGGTCTAGCCACACGGGTTTCCTGTGGCGGCTGTAAACCTGCGCCAAGCAGAGCGTTTCGTGTCGACTTTGTTCTGCCCATCCGCTGCAGTTGCGCGGCGGAGCCACTGTAGCGGCTGAGCGTCCGTCCACGCATCCGTGATGCGAGCCCGGAACAGGCTACGCAAAAGCAAAGGCAACAGCAGAAACCGTTGTCAGACTGGCGCTAATCGTAGCTTGTAGTGGTTGTCGTATTATAGGTGCACACACATAGTTGGAACAACGGAAGCCCAACCAGCGGCACCCGTCGTGGAGCCGACGCCGATTTAGCGACCATTGCCGCTAGGGACCCGCAAATGATCATGGATCTCGTAGATGCAGGTCTCCTGGTCACTGTGTCGCCTTTTTGCCTTTCTCTCGTTGAAGCTGTACGTGCTGCCGGGCGCGACTTGAAGGGTACGGTCTGAATTGAGCCCGGCGGTGCCGAATGTCACAACATTGAATTCTGCATTGTCTTGACGCTCAATCGTGTGTTTATTGCTTTCGCAATTCCCTCTATCTGCAGACGACACAGCGCGTCCAGAGCGAAATGCAGCAAGCAAATCGTCAACGGTTGCAAGTGACGTTACATACGTTAACGTTTGTTAATCAGAAACATGCTGCTGCTGCTGCCAGAGACGATGTGCCCAAACGCCAGATGCTCGGACGGACACGTTGACGTACAACTATGCTACTTATAGTAGTGGCGGCCGTTGTAAAAGCCGTAGCTGTGCTTAGCTGAAGTCAACAATTAAACCAGTTGCAGAGGCCGCATAAGCTGAACGAGATCTACTCAGATGAACAGTAACACCGTTAGCTAGATGAACTCAACGTCAGCAAGAACATCCGAGAAAATACACGGCGGGTTGTATAGGGCTTACGCTCGAAACGCAAGTTGCTCGCGGTTGCATCTTGGCACTCCACGCATTTCGTTAGAGCAAACAATTATCCATAGGGGCAGATCCACCTGGCGTTAATCTTCGCTTACGAGTGCTCACTTATCGGACGTGAGAATCGCCATTACCACGGGAGATAGGCATACAATTCGCACAACTGATATAGACCTGAAAGTGAATTGACTGCTCAAGGCGTTCGTGGTTATGGCGATCGGCTCAGGACGGCGTTCTAATCGACTGAGACACACAGAACGGAACAACGAGCCTAGAAAGATAGGGAAAGAAAAATAAAGGGCCTACGACAAATCAAACCGACCTAGAATGTCTACCAATTGATAGAAATTAATTCATATATACGCTCCACTAATCTTATACGTATAGGAAGAGCGCGAGGACAAAACAATGCAGGCTGGATAGCATGACGGGACCGCCGGTCATGGCGCACATTTGGCGTTATCAGACGTGCGTGGCCGTTTTCGTTGACGGCCTCTGTTAAGTTAGTCGTGGTTTCGAAGAGAAATCATCTCTGACACTGTTGGTGAAGTCCGAATTGGGCTTTTTTCGGTTAAAGTCAGATTATTACAGTGGAGATTGGTTTATTATTAATTGCACATGGCAGAAAAAAGTGCAGATTTGTTAAAAGCGAGAATCAAGGCAACGGCAAGAACAATAACAACAAAATGATAGTTACGTATTAATTGCAGTCATCGTCAATTGTGACGTCGTGCGGGGTGAGGTACTTGTTTCCACTTGTTTCTAGTAAACCCTTATCGTTACACCGCACCTTTGACCCTTGCCCTCATTTGCCTGCAACCCCTCGATTGAAGCAGATAGCTATTAATCGAGCGTAGGGGTAACAACAATGAATATATATTTCATAACATTCAGCTATTTGTTACGTCAGAGGTAGGAGGCGTTACGGAAGAAAATTTACTCGTCATCAAATGAGGATTTAGCGCACGAATGCCCCGTTAACAGCATCACCGTTCCTGAAGCCACGATCAGGAACAAATAGGGCAGCGCCAGAAGGTCTCATCTAATAAGAGCATGAATGATGGTTGTGCAGTAATGCTCATTAACGTGAAAATGAACTCCTTTTCTATATAACGACTCATGAGTCGAAACTGGAAGTTCTCATTAGCATAACAGTTAATTACCTATTGAAGCCCGTTTTAGCTAGAACATCTGTTGTGTGTTTGTTATGATATTGGACAAATTTAGGAAAAGGTTATTAAGAAATAGCCAGAACCGGTTTTTGCTTACGTACGCTAGCACTGTCCTATTTTCGCATTCATGGACAACTTACTGCAAACGGGATATCGTCGTAACGCGCAATGCTATACAGTTAACTGGTATTAATTGCGGTCTATTCTTTGTTACTAATTAATTTCGTGCAGTAGAGGTTTAAGTGGGGCTACGGTTTTTATCGGTATCACGAGCTTTATTACTATAAAAATATTTGGCAATGTCGACACATTATATCTTCCTGAGCATCGTCACAAAATAGAAGTACGGAACGCCGGCCAGCTTATCCACTTGTTTCTAGTCTATATACTTGACAAAACACAACATAATATGATAGTCAATGTTGGAACATTAAAAAAAGAAGCAAATTGAAGCAAGAAACCTTTATATGGTTCGCCAAGGACAACATATCCGTAATAATGAATACGCAATACCCTCTATTCATCGTGCAACCGCTTCGTTCTGGCAATTCCGTCTTTTTGTCTTGTTTCTGTGAAGTCGTCGAAACCCCCCAGTTCATCGAGGACTAGTGCTGCGTGTTTTGGGTCATCGCGCCGTTCCACTAACAAAAAGAGAGATAAAAATAGTTTCAAATTCCTTGTATTCCCAGTACTTCATGCTACAGCCATTAATGTGCAAAGCTTTTGACGTCTGGCGGTCTAATCTTCTGATAGGGCAACGACGAATCGACGCTGTCTCTAGCAGCTGGTATAACAAATCTTCGTTGATTACAGTTACTGATCCTGCAGTGTTCATCATGAGAGGCATGCAATTACCATACGATGCACATAAACGCACACATGCTATTGCCCCTAGGCAGCCGGCGTCGGAGATGTGGGACGTCCGCCTACGCTTCAGACGTTGCCAGACGTCGCCGATCGCGAATTTGATAGCGACTCGCAACAGCTGGAAGAAAACAAAATTATTAGCAGCAACGCGGTCTAAGCCGATCCAAATAAGCGCTGTTTAATGGCAGCCATGTAAAGCTGATTACAATGTGACTTTTGGTACATAATCTTCGGAATTTGTTGCTTGGCTAGTCGGTGAGTTCTGCTATCGTATGTATATCTTCTTTTTCCTAATAACAGGCTGTGAGGCCTATGTTGCCAACAACGCAATGTTTAATGGCGGTATAGTTTGAAACAATTAGTATAGCAAATCGATGTATCGGATCTGTGCCGATATATACGACAACCGATAACGGCCGCAGCGCTAACATAATTTTCGAGTAATAAGCAAAAAGGTGATCTTCAAAATGTAGCGATCAAATCATTCACTCAGTCTTCTATAGCGAAGAAGGGCTGCAATAATTAGAAATTCAGGGTTAACAGTCTCGAGGTAACTTTACGCTCTATTAAAGACGGTGGAAAATTTTACGAGTTTCTATCATTTCTATCGGTTTCTAGTTTGAACTGATCTTGAATGATAGTTGAGGTAGAAGATTTTGGCGGCCATCATCTGTCGGAAGTTTTCATAAGAATGAAAAATTATGCTTTTATTAGAGTGCTGACAGCGTTACGCTGACCTCATTCTTAGGTTCAACGTTTGGTAACAACATAATAACCAGTTACCATTCTCCTGCGCTATCTTAGCAGCATAATAACCCAATGTTCCTAAAAATGTTTGCCGATAACGTTGTGATTATATTCGGCTCTACCGAAGAATCGCTATTCTTTTACTCCGCGGCGTCCTTCCTCCTAAATTTTCTACGATACCACTGTATACTTAAGTCTGAGGAAAAAAATATAAGATATTGCACACGCCTCTGTACAGGAATCGTTACTATCACGCACACAGATGGACATATCGAACGCAGACCTAATCAGGGGATCACTCTGTTTTCAGATATTCGTTTCTTGTTCAGTTGGTCCATCTTCATGTCTATTTGCTTTCTCATACGCGCCTCATTGTGACTGTCTGCAGTAAGCGGCCAAACTCAAAACTCTGAGCTACAGCGCCCATCAACACGAACCAATACGTCATCCTTGTCGTTTCTTTTCCCGCGCTGAGTGGCCGGCAGCCTTCAGAGGTACGCAATCTCGGCCATAGCGGTAGTGTCTTTCCGGCCATCAACTTAGCCATAGCCATAGCCATCCCTGTAATAGTGAGTAGTTACGTGTTTGGAATGGGGCAAACTTCACCGGTGTTGGCCCGTTGAAGGTCGGCCCTTCGCTATAAATGAGACGAGGGCGAGTCTGGCGTTCGATAAACAGGCAAGCTTTCTTTAAAAACTCTCTTACGAGTCCAACAATCCGGCGGCGTCGGCACACGTCGCGACGACATACGACTTCACAATTGGCTGGTCGTTGGTACTTCGCAATTGGCTACCGTACGGCTTTCTTGTCAAAGGTAAATAAAGCAACCCGACAAATCGTCAAAAAACAGGAACCATTAACACCGGATGATCTTCAGTTGACGTGAATGTCTATACGAATCGTACTGCAAACATACGAAAGGCGACGTAACACTCGTGTTAACGGTGGAGTGTGTTATTAGGAATCGCGCCGTTGTCGGCCTGGCCGAAAGAAGAACATCCGAAGAAAGAGAATTATACGTAATTTCGTTGCGTCGGCGGCAACTGAATTGTATTGAAACGTTCGCTGGTTGTCAATCGGTGAATCATGGGTATAATAAAAATGCCGTTTCTAGAAAGCCAAGTACGGGGAGACGCTATTGATGATAGGCAGGGAAGCGATGAAGATGCTCTTCATGGGTAAAATATTAATTGAAGAACGTTCAGCATTAGAATAACTGATAACGCATAATTAGAATAGATTTAATAGTAGAACACCGTCTAAAGATTGCTGCGCGACGTTATAGGTAACTAGAAATACTTCAGGTAAAATTGTTCCGCATTCGCTGTTCTTCCATTACATGTAAACAGACAGTACTCATATGACCTGTTTGCTATTTTGTTACATACATGTGGGTCACGTCGAAGCTTTGAAGTTTCCCAGCCAAACTTTTCATCAAACAATACGAAAATCACTTACCAACCTTTCGAATTTACCTCGCCGATTTATCCGGACCGGCAAATATTGCATGATTTCGCATTATCTAGTATTAAAGGTAACATATCTCGGTAATTCGTTACCCCCATAGAATGTTTGCACTTAAGTGTTTTCACTGTTGCTGGTAGCGGCGACACGTATATAGATCGCGTAATATCAGTTAGAGTGATACGTTTCATAATACTATATTTAAACAGCGGCAATTACCGTCAATGTGTGCGGGGCAACGATGAGGTATGGCTAATATTAAATGTGGTAATAAACATAAAGCTAATTTCAGTATAAATAAAGTCATGTTTATATTACAATCGCTAATTGTTACCATTATCTATGTTACGATAGTCATTCTGACTGTTGTCATTCATTGGCCGGCTGCCGCTGTCGTACATTTCTAGCGTCGAACGCGAAACGTCAGCGTCATCAATATGACGCGGCCTCAACGAAATGCTTCCCTTTCAGCAGCTACTGACGTTCGACGTTTTCGCTTGGGTTATGCGGAACGTTACCAGGGCAATTTTGGGCTGGTTATTCGGGGAAAATATTTCGTCACGTTTTATTCAACGCACAAAGTGAAAATTTACCCGGGCTGTCTGTAAAGACACGAGTGTGTCTATTTTCAGTCGTACCTATTGCAATAACAATTTCTACACGATAAAATATGGAACGGCCAAGTACCAATGTTGGCCTCATTGTTGATTTTCGCGAAATTTGCATGGGAATGTTTTTGTATATTGATGTAAAAAGGTAGAAACATTGATGAATCCATATTGTAAGATGATAGGTAAAATTTCGCTTGATACACACGACTTTGATGAATTTATCACATTGAAGCCTATACGATTTCGCAAATCTAGCTTATATTTTGTAAACTCCCTATTCAACCATAAATAAACATGCGTTAAAAGGATGAAGCAGACTTTGCCCGACATCTGTTTGGACCAGTCTGCTCGTAGATTCGAGGAGTCCTGCGAAAGTAGACAGGGCCAGCATCAGTAACAGGCTGCACCACATGCGTCCGCTTCAGCGATCGAGGCCATGCTAGCACCTTCTAAAGCTTTTACTAATTCCCAAGCATTTCTTCAACCAAGAAGCAAAACCCAACAGCAATATTGATTTTAGAAGTTCTCCTTTTTGATCAATGATCAAATAGATACTCTTGTTTAGTGGCAAAAAATGGTATCAGCGGTCGGTGAGTAGCAAATTTCACTTTGAGAAACAGACTCTGCAGCTCAACTAATCTGAATCAGCACAGACAAGCGTAAAGGATCGCCTTCGTCTGACACGCAGCTCACTGATGCCTTGTTGGATGGTGGAACCGTTTTCAAAAAATTCGTTCCGTCATTTTTGTGACGTATAACCAAAATGCAAATTTTCAGCACAGACTTACCATAGAAATAAAACTGATATGATCGCAAGATCACTGAGTATTTTTGTAGTGGATACCGACGCAGGCCACAGCTGTTTTGGCAGTCTAAAATACTCTTGATACTGATACGTTGACCGTTTCATTACGACACCCGTCTCGAAGCCTATACACATATGCCCGTAAGTGCCTATAGACTCGTAATATTTGCTTAGACAGACTCTTTTAAATGTGTACGTTTGTGTGCGTAGCTAAACGATTTCATTTGGTTACAGAGCCGCCTTACTACGACCCAGGCCAACCCAGAAATGTACTTGAGCTGGTAAATCGAATCAATTTGACCAAGCTGACTAAGAAATATATATTTTATGATAAACATGCTAATATTTAAAATGAACCCAAGACGAAAAGATCATATACACATGGATTATTAAAGTTTCAAACCTAAACTTTGACTTTATGCCAATTATAATAACTAATCTATAAGAAGAAAATACGCCAGTAACGTTAGTGTATAGCTAGTTAGCAAGTGTGTTAGTTTTTACGCGATTATTAACCGTTTTTGACTACTCGTGTTGGGGCAATTGTGCCCACTTGGCATCTATACGTTAACGATACGTACGTTATTCTGGTAGTTGTTTCTAGGCATGACAAGAAAATTTATTTTTGGCGATCGTCCTTTAAACATGATGTCGTGTGTAGGTCGTATTGGCTGAAACTGTTTAGAATAGAAGGTTTCAGTTGAGATGTAGTGACTCATTGGGAGAATCATATAAGTATCAGGTCAAATAGCTGCTTGTACGGTTGCTACGCTGTTTCGGCGGTCCGTTAAAGAAAACTAGCAAGACGCGCTTCGGTTAGACTCCCAATGGGAACAAGCCCATTTATTTTGGACCTAAAAATGGGTGGTTTCTAGGACCTGTGCACATCAACTAAATAACTACTAATGCATAAAAAAACGAAGGTCGCTTATAAGGTACATGTGAAAAGATATACGAAAGCCGCTAACTGAATTCAGCCGAACAGAGTTCTGTTATTTGCACCCATCCTGTTATCACTTGTCAATTAAGCCAGGCGTCGCTAAGGGTAGATTAACGTAAACTAACTTATGTATCCTCAAATGATTATGTGGTCAGAAAATCAACCACGACAGTATATCTGCCTTATACACTTTAAAAAAATCATCCATGGATCTTTAATGACCGTCCCAATCCGTACCGACCAAACGTTTTACCACGAAATGCCCAAATGCGATTAACACTATGGAACGAACGCTGGAAGACGATTTTTGCTGCTTCCAAGTAACGTAAGCAGGCTAACGCGTCATTGAGCCTTCTTCATCACAGTGTGTAAGCTTACATTAGGCTTACAGGAGGCTTACATAAGAATCTTTAGGGTAATCAAAATTCCCGCAGGAATCCGAAAAGATTAACATATAACACAATCATGTGTTCTATATTATCTATATATATATATATATATAGATAATATATATATATATATAGTGAGAGTTCGCAAAAGTGCGATCAACAAGCTGAGGTAACACGTGAGTTAAGATCATTGTTTACGCCATTTTTTTCAGGTCAGCTGCTTTAAGATCCACGCTCTTACTGACATCGAAATCATCTCTGCTCGGAGTCAACCTCAGGGGGGGGGGGTTCGACTCAAGCGCTTGTTATTTGGTCATATTGGTAGGCAATGGCGGGGCGAGAACACGCTCTCAATATGCAGCGAGGCCAACAGCAACCGCCGGTTTCAGCAAGAATGACCTCCATCTCGCTCAAGACAGATTTACCGGAGGGGCACACGGCGGCCCAGTCGGTAGTTCAGCTCTCTGCTTTGAATCTCGATTATTTCCGAACAATACCTGGATGGGTGAAGATTACACAATTGGTAAGAAGCCAGCGCTTAGGCACATTGTGCACTTCTATCTAAGTTGCTCTTATTCTACTGCGATATATAGTATGTATGAGGATATCTTATTGATTTTTAAATTATGCATTGACGGATTCTAGCCTGTTTCAGTGGCATACGTTCCACTGAGGCCTACTCTCACAGGTAGTTAGCTAGTTAGTTCAATGGTCGAAATAACCTAAAAGATCTATTATTTTAAGTGACCCTCTTCGAGAGTAGTTACGCTGATCAAGGTCCTTCCTATGCAACGCGCGAGCTTAGACTGGCTTTTGATTGAGCAATCGTTCAATTTTTAAGTCAAATAGAAGCAAACTGCTACGTTTAGGGTGGACATTATCATGCTGTAAATACGCACTATTGACGAGACATTTCTTATTGTTCGATCAGTCAGACAAACGTAAGGTAGGACCATTCTAGCGGAATTGGGCCTTCTTCACAAGTACAGATGTAGTGCATGCTAAAAAGACCTCGTGGCATGCCGTACCTCATTAGCTCCTACGGTTCCTTGGACGTAGCAGCAAGGTCGACCAGTCAGTCATTCAGCTTTCCGAAGGCAAAATACTAGCCATGCGTGTCATAAACGAAAATTTTAGAATTTTTTCGATAGTTTCTCCCATAATAATCAGTAATTTAGGATAGAATCATTATCAAAGTTAAACCTTGCCTATTACTATTTCTATCATCTGACCGTCGGCAGCATCTTAACAATGTATTAGCATGGCGCGTCTAAATCAAGAGTCAGTTTTATATCCTATTTTTAGCTGATAGATATGCCAACTAAATGTTTTGCAGTATTAGAAGTGTCGTTCTTGGCTATCATGATTATCTAACATAGAAATCATCTACCGCAATTACAATTTTCATTCGGAACTTTAACCAACCATTAGTAGTTTTAAAAATATTACTTTTTTCTATGGAACTAAATTTTTCGCTGACCACAAATTTTAAAAATGTAGGGACTCAAAACAACCGAAAAGTCCAAAATGTGAAAAGGGGCTTAGGGAGCCTTAAAGGGCTTCGTAAGCCCTTTTTCATAGGACAGAGGTGGCGATCGATATCCAACGCGCGTCAGTTCCTGTATCAAAAACCTGGTCACATTAAAAATGCTCTTTCAGCCATTTTAATGCATTTTAAGCTCCCTTAAACCTCAGTCATATTTGTTCAACGCGAAAAAGCTGAATAATAACTGATCTCTGCTCAAATTTTAAAGGCGATACACTAATTTTCACTATGAAGAATGTGTGACCAGGGCGAGCCGCACGCAAACACGTCTTTAGCCGAGTCACCACTTATAGACCCAATGGGCGGAACGACTGAAAGGCAGAGAATTGTTAGCTTAACCAGCATGCACAAGCGAGGTATAGATAGTCGCCTACGTTCCACCTCAACCTCCATTCATCATTATAGGTAAAGTGATAAACTTTTTGGCTATACACCAGCTCCCCTGAGGGGTTCGCTCCACAGCCTCGCGTTAAATCGAGGTAAAACGCCTCCTCGCATGCGACTGCTCCTCGTCTGAGTTGTTATAGTTATAACAGTTATCTGCTCCATTAAACGAACAGGCGAGAAAGCCGCCAGCGACCGTTGCCGTTGACCTGCAAAGTTACAGTTGTGGAAAATGCAACCGAAACCTAGCAGATCCGAGGTGAGGCTGGTGCATTATGGTATTGAGAGAACGTATCTACGGTATATGCCACGTTCTACACAATGGCTCATCTGTGGCATTGGAGAAGGCAAAGGTCCGCTTGACAACGAAGGTTGTTGCCAGACTTTGTTCAGCAACCTTGCCAACAGACGACAACTGAGCGAACCACAATCATGTCTATAATAAAGCTATCAAGAGAAATAGGAAGGCGAGTAAATATCTGTCTGATCTATGTAGGCTCGTTATAAAACGTTAACGAAATCTGTTTGTGAAATAATGATCCTTGAATGAGAAAAATCCGTTTTTGCAATACAGGTATCAGGATCTAATTTTTTTTTTTCTAATTTTTCTCTTCTTCGGGATCTAGCCAAACACTGATCGATTTTCGTTCAATTCAGCGACTTGAAAAATGTTCTTTTCTTTTAGAAACCTTTGCCACCACTAAACAAAAGCTTCTTCTGTTATGTGTCTCCTAAGATTACCGAATAGCGTATAATGGATATATATGAAACTGAGCAGGTGTTCAATACTGTTCAATACTGTGTTCAATAATAATAATAATAAAACCATTCACTGTTCATTCGTAACCGACATTCAGTTCCTATCGGCACTAAATATACGACGGGAAAAAACGGTCAGCAAGGCAAACGTATGTCTCGATTTTTCCCCCGTACCCCCCTGGAAATGTTCTCGTAGACGAGAACATACGCGTGCCGCCGTTGTCAATCAAGAAAAATAATGCTGGGACGACGCAAGAAAATTGTTGATTCTGCCATTTTATTGTTGTTTATTGGTCTGAATGTTTTTTTTTTTAGGTGCTGGGAGTAATCTGTTTGGGATGCGGCTCTCCAGCGCTGGCCAGTTTCGCTCGATTTTACATGTTTGTAGCTGGTGTAACGTTCTGCGGTACAGCGTTGCTATCGTTGGCTCGTCTTCTTCACATATCCATAAATATACCGAATATCGAATGGTCGTTTGCCGTAAGTAGACCTTCAGTAGACAAAGATAAGAATATAGAGCAAAAAGCTTGCTATTATATCACTTTCTCTAGTGCCTCTGTTACTGTACGAAGCACACGTAAACTTGTAACGCTGTAAAGATTAGAAATACGATGTTTTTGACTTGTAAACTGCATTTCGATAAGGTTATGATGAGATCAAGCGAACGCAAAATAAACTCAGCTGGTCGAAATGGGCCCATTGGGGTAGCTGGGTCAATGAAGGTTGTGATCATGTATTCATCTATGAGACCAGTTGTATCAATAGAAGAAGTTATTCGAGATATGTTTTGACGTTTTCCGATACTACAACAAGCTCTATTGATGTTAGTTTTCCATCTTGATTGGCCTGATACCATAGCTCGCCCCCCTTACGCTTTGCCGATACCAGGTATTATACGAATTCTCTATCCTTATTTACTCACAACGATCAGGTAACTTTATTGAAATGTTAAATGACCATATTCGATTCCAATATAGTTCGTTTCCTTTTTACTTGATTGCAGGAGAGCGTGTATACCGCCTGTGCATGCTGCCTCTGGTTGGTTTCTTCCATCTTGCAGTTGGTTATGGCTACAAGCAGCGATTGGCGTTATCGAAGTGATTTTTTCTCACAAACTCTAAGTGACCAATATGTTGCTGCGGGTGTTTTTGGAGTATTTCAGGTAAAAGTTATTTCATAGCAAATATCTCGTAGAATTTTCTTTACAGACACACACACGAACGCTTACCCGTGTATAGTGGCATACCGACATGTTAGATGTATACAAATAAGTGTTTAATAAGATGGTCGAGAATACTGACACACAAATTGAGCTACTGAATAAACTCTGTGTGATGACATTTGCGTCGTACGTAGAGACAGTATCTAATCGGAATAAAAAGATTTACTTAGGGTAAACACAAAAATATTTGACCAGGCTCACCGCTTAATTATTGCTGGATGGCTCAAGCGATCAAATCAGAAGACTTCTACAAAACTCATAAGTTAGCTGTTTTCGTTTTCTGATTCTGTATAGGTGATCACCTATGGAGTGGGGACGTTCTTTCTGTTTATCGAATGGAAAGCGTCCAGGCCGATGCCACCGCCGACGAGCATCCCCCAGTCATAAGTCAGAATAGAATGACGGTTAATAGGACGGCACCCGGATTAGCACTGCATTAGCGGCTGGTTTTCCACTTGGTTTTCAGTGGTTGGAACCTGATTCTCCCTCCTATTGGGAACATCATCATTCTGGCCTTCGTATCTGACCAGCAAAATACCCCTTTGACAATTTTCAATACCAAATGTATAATATTTAAAAGGAGTTGCGCTCCCTTATTTTTAACCACTTGCCGTTTACTCATGATAACGTTAAAGAGATTTCCATTGTTTGCATAGAGGCGATACGATTAAGAGCGGGCTTATAGCGTCTGTAAAGGTTATCTGTTGTGTATTCATCGTTTCGTGTCTGAAATAGAGAGTACACTTTATGATGCTACTGAAAATTATCCACATTCACGAGCGGATTTGTCAGATTCAAGAGATTTATCCAAATTTAAAGGGTCGTATAATTAATCAACTTAGAACGGTTGATTTCGATGGCGTCTGTTCTGTTTCTGATTAGCGAGCTTAGTACGTCAGACTTTTCTCTAGTCTCAGGATTAGATCTAATGTGAGGATTCTGCCCTAGAAAATCGAATGATGACCAGAAGATATTAATTCTTGCTTTCGTAGAGTCTATACGGACCTCGCCATTCCCAATCTACAACTCAGATTGAATAGGCGCTTTAGATCCTGTGACTTAACACCATTAGCGTTATGACGTTTTCGCAGGACAAAAAGCGAACAAAGTTCGATTGCGTATGTAGCTAAGCCACGATTACCCGAAATACTGCCAGTACTTCTCGCATGCTTAAAGCAATGTACGGATCTTAGTGTTCGATGGCTAACTTGAAACGGATCCATTTTTTTTTTTCTTAAATAATCAATAGAGCTACCGATCAAACAAGATGTGGCTTGTTTGAATGGTAGTTGCTCTAAAAATCTGCTTCGGTTTACGATCAACGGACACCTTGTCAAGCAGACGTTTGTACTACGTACGGAAGCCGATAGTCAAACTCTGCTGTGCAGTTCAGAGACCAAGTGAAGAATATTCTTCCACGAAATTGTGCATACGGCACAACGCTATTATTTTTCCTCCATTCAAAATTACTTATATAAATCCATCACTAAAAGATCTTCGTGAATCTACAAAATTACGTATCATAATAAATCGTTTGGTGCAAGGTGACACAAGTTCACCCGGCTAAAATATAAATAATAACTGGAACCGTTGTGGATCTTCATGTCGAATGCACTTTTCGAACGGTACTGCCTCCCGTTACAAAGCGACCTGTATGCAACCAACAGCGTTCTTACTAGCGTGTGCACTACTGGCCATGGTTGTCAAAGCATGAACTGTGCAGGCTGTCTGCCGAGCACCGGCGACACAAACACTCAGATTGATAAGGGTATCTGCAGTAGATATTGTAATAGATACTTGACAAGCTAGCAAGAGAATATATCTTGGCTATCTTATGGACCAGGATAACTTTCGAAAACGTTCATTATCAGAAAATGTAAAAGACATCATAAAATAAAGACAATAAAGTTCGTCATTGATACACGTACCCAGTTATTGAACAGCGTAGTTTTCTCAAAGCATATACATTTCGATAGAGTGCAAACCTTACCATGTGTTCACGTCCAGCTTAAAAATGCTGGCCATTTTGTTAAGGCACGTAAAGAGCTCGTCTCTGCTGGCCGGCTGGGCGAAAAGCCAAACCCAGCTGAAAATTTCCTCTAACGATTTACTACTGAATGTATTACTTTCGACCTTCGATCAGCTTCTCACAATGGCTGAGGGCAGTTATTAAGTCTAGCTAGAAAGTAAAGTTACTTTGTGGGCCTTTATTGTTTGTGCGTCATGTTGAAGCTTTTGAACCTTTGTAGGAAGTAGCTGTTCAACTTTCCACAAGCGAAAACGCTAGCTTATTCGGCTACGCGAATTATATTGTGTTTCGTTCCGTACCTGTGATCACTGAATACCAAATTTTAATTCGAATTATAATCTGGTAATTTTATTTTCGTTACAACTGCGCGCTGATAAAACTACGAAACTACGTCCACAATATAACAAAAATGTAACGATAAAAACAGAGTAAACCAAGTACATACATGCAGCTAACGAACCTAATTTAGTTGAACTTCTTTGTTTTTTTTTTCTTCTTCTATAACTCTCGTTAGCATCCTTCGCTGCCCAACGAAGTCATTTTGTCGTGATACGCTTTTCATGTGATTCCTATTATCCCAATGTTGTATTCGCTACTAGCGATGGCATTTCTTTAAGGGTTTTGCATAAGTTGTAATAAATGATTGTATATTGTGTACAAGTAGGGCCACTGTTTTTTAGCCGTTAAGGCCGTGTGGTACAATTTTCTAGGCTACGGATTGTGTTTAATCATTATGTACAGTAAACCGTAAACCATATCTAATAAATGTATGAGGCGAGGTTCATACCATCGTTTGTGACATTCGGTCTTTGATTCAATGTTACAGACGCATTTTTACGTTCGTAATTGATTTTTTTTTATGAAAATAGATTCTAAAGTCGGTACTGATTTTTTGGCGGGTAACTTTAAACCGGCATGTTACCTGTAAGTTGTGTTCGTTAGCCTAATTCATTTGTTTTAGTAAACAACTGAGCCAGCTTTTCGATTCGCTCCCTGAGATACACGCTACCTATCAACGCGCGTAATCGACACGTCGTGATAGGCTGCTTTTTTTCCGTCTGAAGCCACCAGTAGTTTGCTTTGACGGTAAGAACCCTTTACGAGTAGTTACGTAGTAGTTTATGTGTGCTCCATCGTCTTTTCTAAGATAAGCTTCATCGAGCTGGCCGCATTTCTTACCACTACCATGTAGCTAAACCATACCATGAACTCATGTAAGGATCTAGACATCTGAGAACTCCCAGCACGAATCGATTTCATAATTAACAGCTGCTGCTTGATCCCGGTTATTGGTGATTTCTTTACTTCGAGCTGTCCTTTGAGCAGATGGCCTATGGTAACCGGTGGTCGATTTTCCGTTCAGCTCTGGCATTTGTCTGCGTGCTAGTGTTTTCCTGGCTGGTAGCATTGTCTGCTACTGCTGTTGTTGAGTAAATCTGATTTAGAACTAGAGCATTGTCATATTTTTGCGGTGTTGAGATTGGTTTGGCGAGAATTTTCTTTTCCGTTTGTCGGCCACTTTTCTCCTTGGTACTTTCATTAGATTCTTGTCGGACTTTCTCGGTACTACATACAAAGACAGGACTTCTCGGGTATAACTCGGGTTGCAAACTATTATTGTTGTTGTTGCTACTATTATGACTCTGTGGTAATATCGTTTGACTAGCGGATCTCCTCGACATTGAATTTAACTCTTTCTGCTTTTCTAATTTGTAATCCACTACAGTCGAGTCGTTTCTTTCAACATCCTGGTGTGCCTTTATCCACACCTGGCTAATCTTGCCTCCGCCGAATCCGATCTCGAAGTCGCCCATGCCCCACCCCTGACTGTTCCATTGGTAAGCCTTACCCCAGTCGGGATCCATCTCCTGGTCACCATTCCCGCCCGATTCACTGGCTTTTTTAGCACAGCAGTTTCGCATCAGACCCTGTTCAACCTTGCCAACCGCCTTTTTTTTGGCTTCGTCAAGGCTTTTGATATACCGGCAGATTCCATCTATCCGGTCCTTTTGGCTCGTCTGACCTGTATACGCGCCTTCGAGGCCGCGCATAAAACCCCGAACATAGTCGACCATGAAAAGATCAGTCTGCATCTCAAGCGAGAGTGGACCCGTGTTATAGAATAAGCCAGCGGAACCCCGTGTCGGAGTGCCCCACAAGGCCCCGTGGGCGTTCAATGCCTTGTCCTGCCGTTCGACCTCGTCAGCGAATAGGGTACGAATATCTTCTGCCTCTTTTAAATAGGTTTCTATATCAGCGGCATTGAATTCTTTCTCTGTCTGTGTTAGCGGTTTCCGTTCCCTTACGTAATTTCCGTCATGGTAAAAACCATGTCTTAACCGGCGAATGGAGCTACAGAGCCGGGCGAACTCAGCCCTTTGCCAAGCATCCAACTCACCGGAGGACATCGAATCGTAGACTCTAGATCATCGAACAACTTCGTTGTGACCATAGTAGCGATAGCAAATAGAGAGCCCCTTGCTGCACCCCCAGTTATAATCTGATCGATCAATAGCTGCGTCCGAACTAGCAGGACTCGATGATTAAACGTTCGCTATCGTTGCGCAATAATGCCTTATAGGTGTAGTTGAATATAAAATATTTTCATAACTGCGATTAGGGTATACACGACAGTGGTCCCTTATCTATCAGAAAACTTTAACTTCAAAGTTCAAACAGTTTTTGATAAGAGAGTGCCATGAGCGCTTTGGCGTCTTCGATTATAGAATGACCTTTTCTGTTCGACTACGTCCTACCTCAAATGAATAGGAAGAGTTAATGCAAATCCTCTCCAATGGCACAATCGTTTCGTTTCAATGTGACAGAGAACGTACATTTTCTCCTGGGGTTTGCATGTGGCGTGACCGTCTGCGGAACGCAGTTCATATGGGTCACGCAGGGGGAACTCATCGATGTCGAGATTTTCCAGTTATTTGTACCATTCTTAGCTGAAATCTTCGTTCATAGCCGGAATGAGACTAAAGCAATTTCGAATGTAATTACCCAGGTGGATTGCGTATGTTTTTGAGACAATTTGGACAAGCCGATTGGAGTATGGTCACTCTCAATTAATTGTTTGTGTTTTTGTTTACAATATGCTGAATAATAATTAGAATTCGAATGTGACGAATTGCGCTGTAACAAGTTGTATGGCCTATTCTAAGTTTGCTTAAAGTCGATAACAACCTTCTGATGGTAGGAATCTTAACAACATAGAAGATACCATGATGGCAAATACATGTTAAAAGTACTAAAGCCATCTTTTTTTTAAATTGGCTAGCTATTTATATATAGGCAAACTATTGAAAGAATAAATTGTTTGCAGAGCGTCATACTAGATGCAATCACAATATTTTCTACTACTACAAACGTGGAGTTTTTATTTATGATTGGTTTGTTTTTAAGTTTGTGTTATTCCTAACTGTCGTGTCAACCATTTAACGCGATTACAGCTTCAATTCGGGACTTGAACAACCTACTAATCATAGAAGTCCCAAAAAAGCCAACCATTGGAACTCACCTGAATGATCCTATTAATATACCTATGATAACTTTTATATTCAAAACCTAGGTGTGTCGAAAATGGCTTGTTGAGCCCTTTGATGCATTATTAAGTCCTACTGCCGATACTCCGGTTTTCTTTATAAGAATTTTGCTAGATTTCTTTAGAAGTTGCATAATAACGTAGACCGTCGATTTCAGCTAAAATTTTACCAGAATTTAAATATCGCCTGATGTGTATTAAAAATAGCAGGTGGGCTATTTCTAGTCCTTTTGTAGGTTGAATATTAGGCTGTCGGAGGCATTTACCATATTTTTAGCTAAATGGCTTTAAAATTACATATCTCATGTAATATAAGTCGCATTGGCGTTGGCGTCATTTGGAACCAAAGAATTGTGGATGTGCTATAACGGTAGGAACACTTCTACTCAAAGTTAAGACAGAGCTCCTTGAAGATGAGCCATTTGTGAAAAGATACACCATAGTTCGCAGTTTTATTATATATACACACAGACACACCCATAGACATAAATATCGGCCAAGCGCATAAAGAAACTTGTGCTGTGCTGTTTATAGTCGAGGCCTATTATCAGAAAAAAACGCCTAAAGATTGGTTCTTTCTCGCTTTCACTTTGGAAGTTGATGAAACTTGCGGAAGTTGAATAAGACCGGCACGTAAATAGCCATGACATCATTAAGGAAGTGAACATCCACCACCGAACAGTTTTAAATCGTTTCAAAAAAGCTGGCAAGCAACATAAAAGAAGTTCAATGCTTTTGTGCCAGAAAAATCTACTCGATCGTTTTCCGAAACTCTATAGAAGCCTCCCTTCATTGAAAGTATTTTTGAATAAAAATGTGGCTAATAGAAAATGTTTCTCTTTAAGCGTCAAAAGGGAGTAAGTGTCATTTGTAACAAAAAAGCGTCCATTCTAAGGTAGTTTAGTAATATTATAAATCTGCGTTACACTTGTCTGCACGTGTACATTATAATAATGTACTGAGTGTATCTTCGGGGCAGTAGGTACATACTAGGGAGAGTAAAACGAGTTTGTTTTACTGACGTTATATCCACATACATCTTAATAAAATATTGAACAAAATTATGTTTGCCAGTGATTTAAGAACATATGACTATTGCTATCTAGGTCATAGTAGGTCAACTCGTTTATTTTGCAGATTTCTGCCTGTGTACCCAGGGAGCACCTCGCCACGACTAGCTAGCAGGCGTCGTCAACGGTATATTGTAGGAGATATACGTACACTGCGAGAGGAAAACGTAAACATTTCTGTCACCATTGCGAGCACAGCTTGGTTTGAGAAATCTAGACAATAAAATATGCCTTTCTAGGTTATTAAACAGCCAAGAGGTATAAACATATTGCTCAGTGGTTACTCCCTTGT